CCTTAGTGGGCATGAAGGGTGGGTTTTTTTAAGTAATCTTCTACATTAACTAATGTAAAGGTGTTTCGTGTCCCCTCTCAAATCATTCCAATAAAATCAGCCTTCTCCCATAGGTCCCCATTCTCACTGATTCTGCTCGTTTTGTTCTTCAGGCTGGCTCAAACACCCGAGACTGCCCCAGTGCCACAGCCCCACAGCAGGAGCTCAGACAGTGTCTGGCCCATTACTACCCACAGTGCCTTTTATCGAGGGCTGCTGCTTGCACCCCACTTGGTGTTTGCGCAGCTGATCTCTTTCCTCAGCACAGCACCTTTGTCTACTGAACCTCACCTGGCTGATACTCCCTTCCAGTTCCTCAGGCTGGCACATGATGGCACTCCTCATTCTGCACGAGGGCCTTGCTTTGGGTGCGGGGCACATGCTCTCCAGCTGCTGGGCTGGCTGACAAACCAGCAGAGGCTACTGCCAACTTTCGGGTTTCCAAGGCCCTGTGGCCGTGGGCATCCAGCCAAGCTGGGTGGGGCAGGTGACAGGGGGACCAAGGGGACAAGTGTGGCACGAGATTAGGCTCACAGGAGAACAGGACAGTTAGGAGGGGAGATAGCATGCAAGTTCTACTTTTGGAAGCACGCACGAGAAAGCTGATAGTTATTGAAGTATCTTGGTGAAAAGCCAGTTGCTATCTCCAAATTCCTCCTCTGTGGCCAAACACCTGTGTTTTTTCTACCAGGTGAAAAGAGGATGGGCTGAAAACTGTCAACTGGCCAAAAAAGTCTGTGGGATATAGAGGAGAAATTCCAGGGGGAACAGGACTTCCAGCTGATAACTGTTTCCCAACAGGAAAGTCTGCATCCCATAATGGCCTACCAAACTGGGTGCAGGGGGTGCTGCTGAAGACACAAATTTTAATTGGGGAAAGTTATCCACCTTCGCTCCTCATTTCATACTTTCACCCGTGCCTGCAGTTTTATCATACTTTGAGTTCTGTACATTGATTTTGTGTGAAGAAGCCGAGCAGGTGCAGTACTTTCACTGGTAGCTGTGCTCTGAGCAAGACTTAGCACGTGCCCGGGTGTTGTTACAGGCCATTGTTTGTGGATGACTGGCCCATGTGTGGGGTACAAGGGTCCCCAGTGTTTGTTTCAGGTGCTGTTACTGGTTGTTGCAGCGCCTGTGCTGAACGTGGACATGTGCAGTGAGGTGTAGGAATCTGTACACTTTCTCTGGTGTAGCACAACCCCACGTCTGGATACAAAATTTGGGAGTAAACTGCTTTAACACAAACAAGGCACTTCAGCAGTTTGGTGTACTTCAGATTTCAGATAAAGGGGGTCAGAACAATGAAAATCTGCTCCGTCTGTTTCTTAAAACATTTTCTTTGTCAGACCCTTATTATTATCTTCTATTTCAGGTGCCAAATTTAATCCACCTCTGACATTTCTAGTACAGCTTCATCCTGAGACTCTTGGCACATGGGTCATGTCTGAGACAAGGCTACGCTGGAAAGAAATGTGTAGGGGCTTTGTGTGTGTGTGTGTGTGTCTGCACAGCTATGTTAGACAAGTCACCTTTAGATGGTCTTTCCTCAACCATGAGCTCATCCAGTCTGCCTATATGGTAAATTTGACCTTTAAGTTAGTCTCGAAATGCTGAACATGCACCTACAGAGGACTGTCAATTATAGTGGAAAAGAAATAGATAAGCCTTTTGTTACCTTATGGATGAGGTGATCAGCATGAAATGTTCAAATTCTGTTAACCTTCAAGAGGAAAAGTTTGCAGATTCTTGACTCACTAAAATAGAGAGAATCAGAGTTTTTCGATTTTATTTTGCAGATTATAGCCCAGGGAAGTACTGCAGGTCATGAGTGCCAGCACTGCCAGAGGCAGACACCACAGCCAACTCTGTAGCTGGTTGTTCTAGCCTGCATCTAGGCTGTACAAAGCTACCTCACAACATCCATTTCTCACAGAAAGACTTGGCAGGGCACGAACAAAGAGAGACACTTTTAAAAAGAGCAAGGTGATAATTTTTCCCATTCCTATGGCTGTAGCAGTTTGCTCTGAAGTGGCGTGCTCGTGTCCCTTTGAGCAACCATACGTGGTAAGAAGTCCACAAACCATTTGCGCTTACTCTCAGCTCTGCATCTCCTGACCTGAGCAGACCTTTGAATACAGCCACCAGACCACATTGGCTGCAAACTTAACTATTCTGCATGAAACCACGTTCAGGGTTTTGCCTATGTTAGGAAAAGGTGGCTGATGCAGCTAAAGCAGCAAACTGCATCTTCAGACTCAGATGTGTTTCTTGCTGGTGTAGCTGGAATGGTGTGACTTGTACTGGCAATTAGCTCTTACCAGGTAACTGTGTTACCTGGGCTTCTTGCTTAAACAAAAGCATCATAAAAAATAATCGTATCCACAACTTACATAATTGACCCCACAAACATTTTAATAACTGGCCTTAGAAAAACAGAGAAAGTAGGAGAAAAAAGATTTCCAGAGAAAGATTCATGGGGATCAAAAGATAGAAAGATCATTGCTGACAGCAATGGAAAACACTCATGACTTCAGATATGAATTGAAGAATGATTGAAGGGAATGAAGGAGTGGTTCAGGTACCCCCATGGCATGGAGTCATTTATTAAGCCCTTTTCACATGCTGCTTTATTTTCCATTCCTGCATGCTCTTACCTCTTGAGATTTTCTGTGCACGGACAGAGAAGTCCATTCAGATGCATGGTCCGTAAGATAGGTAAGGTGGGAGCTGGCCACCCCCCTGCTCCTCACACATGCATTTGAGTGGGAAAACCAAACCACAAGAGGCTCCTGCTAACAGCAACATCATGTCATTGTCCCTAAGGCCCTTTCTTATTAAGAGAACAAAGCTTTGGCACAGGAAGGTGAGGCAATTGTGGAAAAGCAAAGATATTCAGGCAGGAGATTTAAGAGGCTGGAAATGTAGCAGCAGAATCTCAGCCATGTCCCCCAAGACCTAGCAATTCAGGGCACTTTCTGCAGACAACTTGTCACCTTGAAGTCCTTTAGTGAAAAACAGAGTGAAATGGGCTCACCCTGAAGTGCTAGTTATGGGTGAGGAAAAGGGAAGCGAGGCTTCGCATTTGTGTTACTCCCGGGAAACTTCCCACATAACCCCTTCTGCTCTGTGGTAAGGTGGTCAGCACTGACCCTTTCGGGACACCTCACCTGGACTTCAGAGCAAACACAACTCAGCTGCAAAGTTAAGACTCCCTGTATATCCATGCCTGACCTTCCCCTCTGCTACATTCCCCAGAGGCAGAAGATTCAGAGCAGACATGCAAAGGTAGGTGCCTTCTCCAGGAAGAGGTTTTGATTATCTCCCAGCTCTGAAAGCCACTATAATTTTATAACTGCTCAGGCACAGTAGAATTATTGCTTAAACTGTGGCTTTTCCATGGGAGTCTGCTAGGCTGAGTGACAGTGCATAGCAAAAAATTCTGTATAAATGAGACAGTCTTGCCTAAGAGATGCACACTGAGGTTGGTAACACAGTTTGATATCACAAGTACGACTCTCAAGAGAAGTGAGAATGTCACTGGGTTTCATTTAATGAGTAAAAGGACTACTTCTTAAAAAAATTACTATTATTGTATGTCTTTTATGAATTGCCTTCTAAGTATTGACTTTTCTCCACAACATTCACCCATGAACTAGTTAATGGTGTACAAACCTGGATAGCCTTAAGTAAGAAGAGCCCATAGAGATTTAAGATAAAAGGTTACTGAGTTATGAATTTTCTACTGAAACAACAAATGCAAGACAGACACCGGGCCAGTCACTCAAAGCAGCGGCTTGGAAAGGCTGGACCTTTCCCTCCTGGAGGGGAGGGTGTCACGAGCAGCTTCCTATGCTGCTCCCAGAGAGGACCTCTGAGGTGGCTGTGCCAATGCACAATTTTCCTCCATCTTTTGCTTTGGAGGGTATATCTGTAGTAGTGTATATCTGTATTTTCTTAGTAGTGTATACCTCTAATTCTTGATTAGCACTTTCTAACCAAAGCCATCCTTTTCCAGTGTGGTTACAAACAGAAAAAGGAACCATTGTCCGTGCAGCAGATGAAGCTTCAGAGAGGTTATCACATAACAGGGCAGGGTGCTAGCATCTGCTGCGCTTTGCTCCCACTGATGCCCTCCCCATTCTCTCACCTTGGACCTTGCTGTACCAGCCGTGGAATCTTTCAGGGCTTACAGAGGCCCCCAGAGCACGAATTAGAGCCAAAGCCTGACATTCACGTGGTGTCAGGCTCCACAGGTGCCATCAGCAGCCTCAATGCCCACTGCAGGGCAGCATGCACAGCTGATAAGCACTGCTACAAGGCTAATCTCCAGAGAAAGGCAACACTTGGGAACCGCTCTGTGCTTTGAATTTCAGGAAAACCAAAGTCTTAAGTATCACCTGAAAAAGAGTGAAAATTGAGGGAAGGGACTCCTGATCAGGATTACATTTTGTCTTGGAAGTTGGAAATATTTTTATGAGATATCATTTATTTTTACTGTTTTCCCCCCATTTCACCACATATCATTCATAGGATATAGACATCTTTAAACCTGCATGGCATAATGTAAAATTAAAAGACTGTTACAACAGTTACCCTCATCGAGGCCAATTGCTCTACTGAATTGGGACATTTTATCTCATTTTCTAGATTAAACTGCTCCTTGCTATGCCATCAAACCATCAAACAATAAAAGCAGGAGACACTTTCTTCTAATAAGTAAATGTTTTGGCATATGCAAAACTGCTCATGTCATGAGTATGAAAAGAAAATCCAGGTGCAAAAGTAAAAATTCCAAACTGAAGACTGAATTTTGTCAGACAATTCCAAAGTTTCTTAAAGATTTAAATAGCAGTTAATGGGGGAAAAAAAAAAGCTCACTTTTTTGTTTGTTTGTTCTAATGGAATTTTCTATGTTTGGTGTTTACATGATAAATATATTTTCATTTAAAAAAATTTCACAGGCAGAGCCAGTGGGAAAAAAGCTCTGTGGGCTGAGTTGGGCAAACAGAGATGCCATGACACACTGCAGAAGCCGCTGGCAGTGGGATGAATCTGTGCACCAGCAATGAGCAGTATCTACTCCATCTGGCTTGGGCTCCACATCCTCCCAGAAGACTTCCTTTTGAACAGGGAGATTCCAGTCACGGTGACTCCACCAGTAAAAGAGGTAGCCTCCCAGATTTGCTTATCTCAAACTTCTTGAAAGCACCCCTAACTTCCTTGGCAGCAGTAGCCAAACAAGAGCTGTAAAATACTGTTTTCCCTGGTCTGGTGGAACTCGCAACTCAGCATATGTGGTGAGGAGCTCCCAAAATAGCTCTCGGTTGCCTCACCAGCCTCAGAAGCAACTTGAAAAGTCTTTTGTCTTCTGGGACAACTTACAGAAGTTTTAAAATGTTTGAACTTATTTTGAAAGTACTCTGAAAGATAAGAATGATCTATTCCAAGGCCAGGTGAACTGAAGGTCACAGTTAAGGCATTGCACAACACAACCAAGTAGGTTCAGCACAAAACTCACACAGAATTTGATCAGCTCATCAGTGCTGCTGCTGCCCTTGCCTAAATTCAGGTCAAAGCTGAGGCCCTTTGACCTGGCACCCTGCTGGGCCAAACGCTCTCATCTTTTATGCCAAATACCAGTGGGGCAATGCTAAAGAGGCAGAGGACATGGGTCCTTTCGTGACAGAGCCTTGTTGGACAAGCCTTCAGAAAAGAAGCCAAGCAAAACAGCTCAGTTTCTGAGGAGAAGCTGTAGTTGCTGCAGGACAAGTGTGCTCTCGCTCTGGGAAGGCTAACATGCACTTCATCCTGGTCAAAGGCTATTCTCTGACTGGATCTTGTAATATTTCAGGCTATCTCTATTTAGGACAAAGCCTGAATAGCTTTTGCTATTGTTAAACAAGGGATATCCCCAATCTGCTCTTTATGGCTGCACTACTTCAGCACAGCATTCCTGCGGGCTCTGCAGGGACAACATGGAGGCTGTCCCCCTGGAGTCATCTGAAACCCTTCCCTGCTGTGAGGAAAGGCTCCTCTTTCTTGAAAATATAATTTGCTCTTGAAAAACAACTCCAAAACCCCATATACATCTGGGGCTTCCCATCAGGGTGGGAGAAGAGCTTTTTTTCCCCACATCTCATGTTTCTGAGCATGCTCCCTAGTGCCTCGGCCAGAGCCCTCAGTATAGCTTTTTGCCGAGTCAGGCTGCTGGTTTTCTTATCCCAAATCCCAGATGGGTGGTTTTAAGTACTCCAGGCATTTTTCAAAGACAGCTTGAAACCCAGCCAAGCCCACAGTGGAGGAGGAAGGGGTAGGGGTGGGTGTGTAACTCTTCTCCAACAGGTCTGCAGTTGGTCTGGTTGTCTCCCAGGTCAGGCGAGCTTGTCCACAGCTGCAGGGTGCAGCTGCCACCCCAGGGGACAACCCCACCCCGTCCCCAAAATCAAGTGAACTTTGTGATTTTTTTAGCAGCAGTAAATGATCCCACTGGGGGTTATTTGACCACCAAAGCTATGCTGGCTTGGCTGAAGGGTTGAAGTGCAGAGGCCCACGTCAATACGCATTTACAGATACTACTGGATGCAGGATTGGGAGCCCCAGACCCCCCAGCACCCGCTCTCACCTGCTGCTTGGGAATCACCCCTTCTCCAGTTCCTGTGTTTACATGTCTGTCCATGACACAATGAAACGGAGGGAAGGCAAATGTGCAATGTAGAGATCCATTATGCTTTATTTACATGCGTCACCATCTCTTTTACAAACTAGATTACAATTTAAAATGGAATACACAAGGCAATATCTACTAACACCAAGTGGAGTAAGCACTGCGTCTCTACTTCGTTTGGAAAGGGGCAGGTTTTGCTCCAAAACAAACTTCCTTCCAACCTCTGAGTAGTAAGGTAATATATTCCTCCAGGGCAGCATCTTTTTTCTCTTTTTTTTTTTTTCTTTTTTTTTCTTTTTTTTAAATAAAAAATCCTCAGTAAGACTGCAACGTGAGAGTGTCTGCTTTCAAATGAAAGTACAAGATAGCCCAAATGAAAAGTATAAACTGTTCAGCTCTTCGGTATGTAAAGACGGCCATGCGCAATAAGGCTGTGGATTTAATATTCTTCCAATTTACATGGCTTGAAACAGAAACAGATAAAACAGTTTTACAGATACTGTATACATATTTTTTCCAATCATGCAACTTTTTAAAAAAAAAGTTAAACATGTGAAGCCAAATGTACAATCCATTTTTTCCAACCCATAGTAACGAAATGTATCTGGTCCCCCTGCGCATCTGTTGGCAATTCCAAAGGTATATTGTGTACTAGAAACACTTACAGGACATCGATTGCCAAGCAATGACATAATTTTAGAGAAATACATAACCTAAAAGGTAACTTTTTTAAGCAGTGGCACAAAAATTTCTGGAGTTCAACAGTGTTTAACTATCCCATTATTCTCAAGAGAAATTTTTTTTACAAAATCATTAAATCAAGCCCCAATCTGTGACTAGAAACTGCATAAATAACACCTTTTTAGACCTTTTGTTTAGACCAAGTGTCCAAATGATAACTACGTAATTGTGACCATGACCTTTATCTGTTTTACACTATTTCATAAGAAAAACTTCTAGGCATAAACATGTTCAAAGACTCAAAGGCCAAATTTTCAAAAGGTAGGTTCCCAAAATTAGCGGTTCAAGTCTGTATTTTGACACCTAAGTAAGTGGCCCTTTGAATTCAGTGAGATTTATTTAGCACCTCTGGAGTGAAGGAACCTTGCTGGGCACCTCAGCAGGTGTAGAGGATGATGACTTTCCCCTCGGCCTGGGGGGACCTGTCACTTCCCCTTCCTTCAAGAAGTGACAAGGACAGAGCAGCTCAACCTCTGCGACCACACCAGAGTCCCCAGTGTTCAGTGCCTGATACCAGGCACTTGTGCTGGAAAAGTTTGGCCCCAAAAATGAGCAAAAGAAACCAAACCAAGGCCAAGTCCAACCCTCTTCAGCAAGTGCTGAGATGTTCTCCAAAGCAGGGGCTCAAGGTGTTCCAGCCATGCCAATGGAAATGCTCTCCTTGACATTGCTGGGAGGCAAGTTAACCCTTTCAGCTGCTAATGCTTTTATTACTTTTTAAAAAAACTTCTCTGACATTGATGGGCTGCCTCTAAATCAGGTGTTATTTCTTCATTTTCTGAACAGAGCAGGCCATAGTTCTCTCTCTCATTTCTGTCAGCAGGAGCCAGCTCCACTGAACTCCAGCAGGCTAGGCTGCCAGAACAGAGCAGAAGCTGCCCCTACTTGGTTCAAGCTAATAGGCCTTCCCTTGCCTTTGACAAGAACTTAATCTGTACCAAGACCAAACAAAAATTGTGGGTTTTGGTCAGCTTGGCCATACCATCAAGTCAGGCCTTACTGGATCTCTCAGTGACCTGGTTGGTGGGTCTTTGGGCAGGCACCTCGGGTCTTACCGGAGAGGAATCATGCAGGGATCAAATGCTGCACCCCAGCATGGGGAGCCACAGAGTGATCTCTCCTGGTGGCCAAAACCATGGGGCCAGGGGACAAGTCCAGTCACAGGGTGGCAGCTGCAAAGAAGCCTCACGGAAATAAGCACTAAAGGAGAGTCCTTCAGCATACACTGACATTTTGGGGTATACTGGGAAGCTGAGAGCTAATGGTACATGCTCAGAGGAGGCCAGTGATAGACCCTAGGCCAATTTCAGTAAAAGGTGCCTGCAACTGGACTCCAATAAGCCAGGCGCCCAGGTGTGCCACGCAAGCATCCTGGGAGGCTGGCTTCTGATAGAGATGGGCAATGAGCACCAGCCAACTCCAGTGAACACAATAAACTAAGCCACATTCTGACAAATAGACCACCTCAGTGTAAAAAAGAGAAGTTTTTTTAAAAGGCAAATGATAAACCCTTGGCTGCTTGGAAGAGTTGATATGCTACAGGGCTATGCTAACCACAACTGCACAGAGCCTACACAGTCATAACTGTGGGGAGAAACCAAGAGGTGCATCTTTATGAGAGAACAGCGTGGAGGCTATGGTACAAAAACAAAACTTCCATCACACTAGGAGCTGTTGTTTCACCTGTTGTTTCACCTCGGGGACCTGGAAAGTGAGGAGTGAGGAAGGGCCCACAAATGCGCGCATGTGTGCATGGCTGTGCATGTGCGGTGGCAGTGGCGAGAGGGAGTCACTCCACATTGCATGGGACACGTGTCGGTGGGAACTCATGCACTGAGACTTTGGGTTAAAATGCTAGTTTGTTTTCCTAACATCCATGCATAATGATCCATTTCTGTACATAATAAAATATATTTATATATTTATATGCATAATGCTTTTATGCAAAGGAAAAAAAAAAAAACTTCATATATCGCTTTGGAGAATTATGTATACACTGTCCTGTTCAGAACCTCTTCATATTGAGTTCCTATGTACCACTGGTGTTTTCCCCTCTTTTTTTTGTATCCCTTTCCCCCCAAGATACTAATAAAAAGTAATCAAACTTTCCAGATTATAGAGAGGATCTATACAGCACCATACCTTTTATTCATTATTATTATTATTAATTATTATTCATTTTATAAAAGAAAATCTTAGAAGCAAAATATATAAAACTGCCTTGTCTTTCAGTGTCATTTGTCTTGATACAATCTCTGCTCACATGAAAAAGCCATTTGTATGATACTGTCACATTGCCATTCCCACTCCTGCTTCTTCTGCCACAACGGATTATACATAATGAGAAGGAAAAAATAATCAAGGATATGTCTAAAACAACAACAACAACAACAACAACAAAAAAAAGGATCACTGATGCAGTAACACACCCTGCAGTGACCTGTGCCTCAGGTCCTGGCATTGTCACTGCAAGTCACCTGCCGATGCCCAGCTGCTACATTTCCCTTACTTTTTGCTTTTTCAAAGCATCTCTACAGGTGGCTATGTTCACCTTGTCTGGCAGCTCAGCCTGTAACTTGTCACCAGCTCACTGAGGCAGTAGGAGCAGCCTTACCAACATAAGGCAGGAGGGGAGCCTGCTCCACCGGGCAGAACATGGGCTCCTGCCTTGGGGCACGTGAGGGCAACGGCACCCGCTGTCAGGCTGCCCTTGTGAGCCAAGAGGCAAACCCACCATCTTCCCTCGTTTTGCAGTCAGCTCTGGCTTGACACTTATGGAAGGCAGGGGTGTACCATTAAATTTAAGGAAAGAATAAAAAAGAAACAAACAAACCAACCCAACAAACGAACAGGCCACGCGCACCCCCTCTCTCCGGAATTCAGCCAGTTGATCGGTCTAACAAACGCTGTATATTCAAAAACCCTGACACCTGAGCAGTGTTGGGTTATGATCATTTCCTTGCGTGTGCACAGTACTTCAAATTCCCTAGGGCGAGAAAGCAAAAACGGTCAATAAAATCTAAGGAAATCAAACTGGAGGTTGTAGGGGGGAGGCTGGGCAGATGGGGAAAACCTCCAAAAAGAAAACCAACTTAAAACATCCCATAAACCATTAATATATTGAAACACCACATACTCATTGACAAGTAACTACTGTAAAGGCTACACAGTGTGTTCTCAACAGGATGGTGCTGAACATTGTCTCCACAGCAGGTGCTTGGCCATCCCAGAAAAGGAAGATTTTGCATACTTCAGAATGAGTTCAATTTCCAACAAAAAGGGGGGGGGGGAAAGGAGAAAAAAAAAAAAAAAAGAAGTAGGATCTTCACTCCAGTCAGGGGCCTATTAACAGTCTGCTTCATTAGGAAAATAATGCAGGGTTCACAAAGGTTGTAAGCTGTAAACAGTATCACTGTCCACTTGCTGACAGCAGATTTGGCAAAGGGTTCTCTCTCTACATCTCGTGTCAGTTTGAGGGCCTGGAGAGGAAAAAGAAGAAAAGACAGTGAGACTACTGCATATGGGAAAAAAGCACAACAAAAAAGGCAACCAAGCACACATCCAAACCCAACAACAGCTTACACTGACGAGCAATTTAGATTTGTTTGCACCCAGAAGCTTCAAACATATAGCAAGGAATATGTTGCACTGTGATCCTGCCTGAAAATGCTTCTCCTTTGCCAAGGTTTGAGTGTTTTGTTGCTGATTTAGCTGCTCTCAAATAGAGAAGAAAAAACCCTCTCTCCAAAGAAAAATGATGGCCAAATCTGATTTACAGAAACCCAGTGCATTGTCTATTTGTTAAGCGTATTTGCAGGTGAAATATGGAAGTATCCTCCAGCTTTTCTCCATTTTTCATGATCACCCTTTCTCAGCATCACCAAAAGGCTGGATAAGGCTGGATAAATCTTCTGTCAGTGTTTGACATCGACAGCCAGCCTTGCAGGAGAGGCTCAAAAGAAGCAGTAAGGAGCCACGAATTTCAGTGTGGACTTTGGAGTTCTCCATTTTCCTGCCCACACAATACACCATCAGCAGACAGGGTCCACCTGGCTTTAAAAACTGGGTTAGGGTCCATCTTATTCTGTAACCATGAAACTTCTCTGCAGAGGGAGAGACGCTGCAAAGACACCTTGGATCCAGAATGGAGATGACTATGAAGGGACATGGTAAGTAGGTAAAACACTGAAAACAGATGAACATTTCAACCAAGGGGGCCAAGGGAACAGGGCTTTAAAAGTGGCTTAAAGATACAGGAAGGCACCAAGTAGGCTTTCAGAAAGCATGGACATTTAAACACTCCAATGAAATCCTGTCAGATCTTCAGAAAGCCCAATTGGTAGACATGCTGCCATGTAACTTCTGGCTCTGAAATAGCTTCTGAAAACAGGGCTTAGCCCCTCATACCACTTACTACCTGTTAAGGATTTTCCCCAAAATGAATGATTGGTGATTTTTTTATACAGTGCAAGAACAGTGGGACAGTGGCTGAAACCTAAAAGCCATGGAGTTGATTGCAGGAATGTCTTTACTCTCGAGATCCTGCTATCAGGCACCCCCATGAAAAATGGCGGATTTAGTGGAACTGATGGTTTAATCTGGACCAGCATCTTTTGCAAGGAGAATCACTCGAAGACTGTCTCCTTTCTAAGGTGCCAGGCACTGATCCTATGATAACATTTTATTAAAATGACCTATTCTGATAATGCTAAATGATTGATGGAAATTTAATCATTTTGGCTCATGGTTATTAGAGCAACAGTGTGACAGCTGCTCCCTGTGCCATTAGGAGAGAACTTCATTCAGCACAGCTTAGGGAGCAGACAGATTGCATGTTTCACCCAAACAAAATTTGGCTTTAGCCTTAATTATGTGGAGGGGTTTGGGGTAGAATGTTTTGTGAATAAAGGGATTTCCAACTGGATCAACATATTGATTTCTTCATTTTCAAAGGGCAAATTAACGCTGGCCGTTCGTTAATGTGACTGCCTGGCAACGACTCCATTTGGTAAGTGTGTCCTGATGGCCGTAACAAGGTCAGCAGAAGACACCCAGATAGGCCTGGTAGCCCCCAGTAAAACCTGGCTAGTGGCTCGTATGCAGCTCAAACAAGTGCATATCCTTTTCCCTACCCCTTAAAGCCTTAGCACCACAGGGGGCTGGAAATCAGCGACTTTCCAAAGCAGAACCTCCTCCCAAGGCAAGGCTCGGGTCCCAAACGCCGCAGCCCAGCAAGTCAGCTCCCTCTCCTTGCATCCGCCAGTTATGCGAGCATGGGCTTTGGCACTTGTGAGAAGTCTTGCTGACTTTGAATAAAGTTGTTAATTAAAAGTAAACAAGTACAGAAACTCCCGATGAAGTACCAGAGCACTGTTCAACATTTATGGTAAAGCGCCGCAGCCCAGCAAGTCAGCTCCCCCACATGCATCCACCAGTTATGCTGAGCATGGGCTTAACTTTGGCACGTGTGAGAAGTCTTGCCGACTTTGAATAAAGTTGTTAATTAAAAGCAAACAAGTACAGAAACTCATGATGAAGTATACCAGAGTACTGTTTAACATTTACGGTACCAATCTATGTGAAATATTGTACTATGAAACAAAGTGACAAGAAAAAACTGGAGGATGAATGAAGACGAGCGTCACTTGTGGAAGTGGCACTGCCTGATATTTTTTTCCTGAGGACACCTGTCCTTTGACAGAGACAACATTTTAGGAGACAGACACACAGTTGAGGCAAAATTCGCTCATAGCAAAACCAAACCATGTTCCATTTTCACAGCTCTATTTACATGGACTTTGCAAATGGATTAAAAAAAGGAAAGAAACAGATCAAAGTCTTAACCTGCCTGTCTTCAAATTACCCTGTTAAAGTCTGTAATAGACCCACAGACTCTTGCTTTCTGTCTCACCACAAAAAGCCTCTGTATACCCTGCGTTAGCAGCCTGCTGCTTCATAGCAATGAAAACATTATCAAGGCAGGGAAGCAAGTGCTCCAGTTACATCTCCATTTATCATAGAATCACAGAGAGGTTTGAGCTGGAAGGGACCTTAAAGATCAACTTGTCCAACACCTACGCAGTCAGCAGGAACATTTTCAACTAGATCAGGTTGCTCATACCTTCATCCAACCTGGCCTTGAACATCGCCAGGGAGGGGGCATCCACCACCTTACTGGGCAACCGTTTCTGGTGTTTGACCACCCTCATTGTAAAAAACTTCCTCCTTATATCTAATCCAAATCTACCGTCTCTTAGTTTAAAACCATTACCCCTTGTCCTATTGCAACAGGCCCTGCTAAAAGGTCTGCACAATTGCTTGCAAACAGTCATGCAGGAGACGACGTCCCTTTCTTCTGCCCTATTCTCTGCCTTCCCATCCTCTACCTTTGCTACTGACCAATTACAAATGCTGCTCTTGTTTTACTCTGTGGCCAAGCTGTTGGTTGTGATTTCCCTCCAGCAACATTTCCTCGCCTCTGTCTCACATCACTCCACCACTTAACTGGACAGCCGTCTACCAAGCCCCATGCCAGCTTGTGCACCATCAGAGCAGCTCTGAAGGATCATTTGCTGCTGTTGCTTTCTCCTTTGATTCCCAATGATGCTAATTATGTAGTGCTGGAAATTTCTTCAGAAATTTTAGAAAGGTGATGCACTCTACCCAGAGTGAGACACAGATAACGTGCCCTGGTTTATCAGTGGGCTAATGTAACAATCAGCACATACAATTTTCTGTTACAAGTTATGTGCTCCTTTACATAATTAGGGTATGAGAAACTGCACTACCAACACACAGCTCCTCTGGATGGCAGCCTGCCAAGGATCTCCTGATTTGGCTGGAAGGCTTGTTGAGTGGATCGCATCTTGAAAAATGTCACCATTTAGAGGTCTGTAAAACAAGGGCACCACTTTGCAGTGACTCTCCAGGGACAGGAAATCCCAGTAACTACTTTTACTGTCCAGACACTTGGGATGCAAACATTTTCAAGGAAACTTGTGTCCTTCGTTCTGGTGCCTCTGCCCTTCGATTTGTCATCGCCTCCAGCAGTAGAGCTTCTACTCCGAAATGGGGGGAGGTCCAAAAAGCAAGACTTGACTACGTGTGGTTACCAGTTTGTGTTCTGCCTGAGGTTTCACAGCTCTAGACTGAAAAATACACAGTATTTCTTTAGAAACAAGTAAGGATGGTAACTACTCTGGCCAGTCCTTCTATAGTCACAAAAGTGCAGCATGAGATTTTTTTTGTTCAAGGACAATAAGAATTAGGAATCCTGATGCCTGCCACAGGAGGTATGCTACAGTGACACCCTACAGGCTTAGCACATGCTGCCCTAGGATAGCTCTTGAGAGGCGACG